GCGCCGGCCCCCCCACCAGCTGCGGACGGGGCACCGCGGCACCGGGGGGTTCCCCGGCACAGGCATGATGCCAGGGCGATGGGCTGCAGAGCCAGCCAGTTGCACAGCCCCCACCCCGTGCTGCCTGCCCACCCTACAGCATGGAGTGTGGGGGCCACTATTGGCCCCCTCCTCACACCCGGCGTTCAGTCCTGCAGCTGATCAAATACCAGAGCGTGCAGAGCAAGGTGAGGCTGGTGTACGACCGGGAGCCGCAGAGGAGCCTGAGCAAAGACTTTGTCTTCCCCAACGCGCGGGTAAGCGGCACCCACTGCGCTCAGCGCGTGCCCTGGCCTACAGCATGGAGTGTGGGGGCCACTATTGGCCCCCTCCTCACACCCGGCGTTCAGTCCTGCAGCTGATCAAATACCAGAGCGTGCAGAGCAAGGTGAGGCTGGTGTACGACCGGGAGCCGCAGAGGAGCCTGAGCAAAGACTTTGTCTTCCCCAACGCGCGGGTAAGCGGCACCCACTGCGCTCAGCGCGTGCCCTGGGGGAACACCGAGCCCTGACGGAGCAACGCAGCAAACGAGCGGTCTCAGGGCTGAGACCACCTCTGCAAGCCGGTGCCTACGCCTGGGAGTGCTGCCCCCCCTGATCCCACCACCAGCACCTTCTGGGGTGCTGCACCTCCCCTTTGGGACACTAAGACACCCATATCGCCCCGCAGAAGCGAGAGGCCTTTTGCCAGCTGCTGCAGCTGATGAAGATCCAGCACTCCAACCTGGACGAGCCTGAGCTCATCTCGGTGTACGTCGGGACATGGAACATGGGTAAGGGGCCAGGGTGAGGTTGCATTGTCCTGGGAGGCTATCATGGCTCGTCGTGAGCCTGGGTGGGTTTTGGGAGGTGAGGGCTGCAGGGAGCTGCCCCAGGAAACCTGAGGTCCGAGCTGGTCCTCGGTGGGAGGAGGAGGCTGGAGAAGACCCCGACCTGGCTGCTTTCGGATTTGTCCATGCCATCGTGATCCACTTGCCTGGAGGCTGTCAGGGAAACTGGGAGGGTTTCAGGTGGCAGCAGTAAATCTCAGCATCACTCTGGGATGCTCATGGGTGAACCATGGACCTGGCACGACGCTTCCCATCCCTGCCGGCTCCTGGAGATGCATCGGGTCTGGGGTTGGAGAGGAGCTCCAGGAGCCTGGCGTGCTGTCCCCCGCCATGACCCACTGTCCCCTGCCCACAGGCAGCACGCCCCCGCCCCGCTCCCTCGCCTCCTGGCTGACCTCGAGGGGCTTGGGGCGCACGCAGGACGAGACCACCGCTTGCATCCCCCACGACATCTATGTTATCGGCACCCAGGAGAACTCCCTGGGCGACCGCGAGTGGGTCGAGTTCCTCCGTGCATCTCTGAAGACCCTGATGGCCATCGACTACCGAGTGGTAATGTCGGGGCACAGCCTGGCCCCCCCCGGCTGGAGCAGGCTGCCAGCAGCCATCACCCCAGGGCTCCTACCCCCCAAACCCAGGGCCCTCTCCCACCCCAAATGCAGCCCAGGGAATCTCCTACGCCCCGTGGACCCCATGCAGGGAGTGCCCTCCCCAGGAGCCGCCTTTCGGGGATGGGTTGGCTCACCTTGCTGCTCCTCTGCCCCCACCGGCCCCCCACAGGTCGCCCTGCAATGCCTCTGGAGCATCAAGATCGTGGTGCTGGTGAAGCCCGAGCACGAGCGGCGCATCAGCCACGTCCACACCTCCAGCGTGAAAACCGGCATCGCCAACACACTGGGTAGGGAGGGGGGATGAGGTGGGGGGGATGCCCCAGAGCGAGGGCCCCAGCCTGGGGTCCATTCCAGGACCTCTGGGTCCCTCCTCCGAGGGCTCAGCGCCCAGCACATCCCTGCAGGGAACAAGGGAGCTGTGGGCGTCTCTTTCCTCTTCAACGGGACCTCCTTTGGCTTCGTCAACTGCCACCTGGCCTCCGGCAGCGAGAAGACCCACAGGTGACGGAGGGGCTTGGGGGGGGACAGGGCTGCCCTGGGGCAGGCGGGTGTCTCAGGGGCTGGAGTAGCCCTGAGGGGCTGTGGGGCTGTCCCTGTCCCCCTCCTGGCAGGGGCAGGATGAGGCATCCCCCGGGGTGGCTCACATTGTGCTGCCGTGTGTGTCCCCCCCCCGCCACAGGCGTAACCAGAACTACAGTGACATCCTGCGCTCCCTGGTCCTGGGCGACAAGCGGCTCAGCGCCTTCGACCTCACCCTGCGCTTCACCCACCTCTTCTGGTTCGGGGACCTCAACTACCGCCTGGACATGGACGTGCAGGTGGGAGCCCGCAGGCACGGCGCCTGGGGACCAGCCGCAGGGGCGAGAGGAGCTGAGGCTGACGGCGCCTTCCTCCCCCGGCACAGGACATCCTTGCCCATATAACCAAGAAGGAGTTTGAAGCCCTCCTGGCTGTCGACCAGCTCAACCTGGAGCGGGAGAAGAACAAGGTGTTCCTGCGATTCAGTGAGTGCGGGGGCAAGGGCACCGCTCCCCCCACCAACACAGTGGCACCCAGGGTCCCCACAGACCTCTCCCCGTGCCAACACCAGCACACGGCTGTGCCCTGTCCCCAGCCCTGGGCGAGGAGCTGACAGCCGGGGGGACATCGACGTGCACCGTGCCAGCCCCCCGGGGCGGGTCCCTGGGCGCTGCGTCCCGGGAGCGTGCAAGCACGGGGACAGTCAGAGGGACCAGGGGTGCCGGCCGTTGGTGTGAGCCCCAAATGGGGACCGTGACACCCCACGGGGCCTCTCCCTGGCCGGTTGCAGCTGTGGGGACAGGCAGGGACGCTGGCCCCTATGCCACCTCCGTGTCTTGGTTCCCAGGCGAGGGTGACATCTCCTTCCCACCCACCTACCGGTACGAGCGGGGCTCCCGGGACAGCTACATGTGGCAGAAGTTCAAGCCCACAGGGGTGAGTTCCCGGAGCCTCCCACCGAGCTGCAGGACATCGCCGGGGGAGGGGGAAGGCGCTGGGTGGGCTGTGCGGTGATGTGTGGCCCCCACGCCCCCGCCAGCCCAGGAGGGAGCTCGCTTTCTGGGCTGGGGGCAGCCAGACCCGAGCAGGCGCTGGAGCCGACTGCTTTCCCCATTTTTAGATGAGGATCAACGTCCCCTCGTGGTGCGACCGCATCCTGTGGAAGTCACACCCAGAGACCCACGGGGGACGGCGCTGGGTGGGCTGTGCGGTGATGTGTGGCCCCCACGCCCCCGCCAGCCCAGGAGGGAGCTCGCTTTCTGGGCTGGGGGCAGCCAGACCCGAGCAGGCGCTGGAGCCGACTGCTTTCCCCATTTTTAGATGAGGATCAACGTCCCCTCGTGGTGCGACCGCATCCTGTGGAAGTCACACCCAGAGACCCACGTGGTCTGTAACTCCTACGGTGAGTGAGACCCCAGGGCTGGGGGCACCTTGGGGTGGCCAGTGCTGCCCGGGACCCCTGGGGTGGCCAGCACTGCCCAGGACCCCGGGGCTCGGGGGCTGTCACCCAGCTGTCCCCTCCCGCCATCCAGGCTGCACCGACGACATCGTGACCAGCGACCACTCGCCCGTCTTTGCCACCTTTGAGGTGGGAGTGACGTCGCAGTTCGTGCCCAAGAAGGGTAAGAGGTTGGGGTCTGTCACCCCCCCCACCACCCCCAAATTGGGGCGAGCCCTGGCCATGGGCGCTCGGCTGGCACACGCCGATCCGCTG